TTAATAATAATATTTTCTACATTATCAATTATGTCTACTCCATTATCTTCAGATTGGAAACCTTCACTATTTTTGTTATAACCGGCTAATACAGAAAGACCAATAGGTGATATCCTCAAATTGATCTATTGCCTCTTATAATATCTTGAAGGTTATTGATTTTAAATTTATTATTTACCTATTAATTTTCTTTAAATCTTTTAAAAAATCTGTCGTAAAAGTTAATCCTTACCAGGTTGACAGTGTCCTGGTACCCCTCTATTATTTTTCTTTCTTTATAGTTTAGTCAATGCCTAGAAATTTTTTTAAAGCCCCTTATAAGTATTGTGAAATTAGTTTCTTATTTGAATATTGTAATAACAAATACCTAACTGACCAAGAAGCAGAACAAATTTATAACAAAGTTAAAATTATTATTCAACTATTACAAACTGGTTTTTCTTTAACTACTGAGGAAACAAAATTTTATATCTTTATACCGAGCATTGTGGTTTTATCTGGACTAACGGATACAACCCTAAGCCAAAACAATTCTGGGACGAAGGATACCAAATTGAACCAAACTTTGCTGAGCCTGCTTCTTCTGCTACTTACTATTTGGAGTTTCCAAATTCTGACAATCCTACTAGAACTATCTATAATATACCATCTCAGCCTTAGCCAAATCCTTTCACCTATACTCACTATTCAAAGCATGATCTAAATAACTTGAAGCTATATGAAGAAGAATTAAATAATCAAGCACCTGCAAAGGACAGATTAAATGATCTATTCAAATTTCATCAAAACAAAGACTTTTCAGTCTGGTTTTGAACAAATTGTGAATGAATATTGAAATATATAAAAGACAAATTCATAATCATGAGTTTGTTTACCAAACCAATCAATATATAATTTGAAGAAAAGCAAAAAAAAAACCTGATCCTAGTTGTCTTTTTTGTCATTTTATTGAAACTTATTATACTACTCCTCTATCATTTCTTCATTTCTGGGAGTAGTTTTTAAGAAAATATAATACATCTGCTTATAATAATAAAATATTATATTACTTTAACCAAGCCCAAATTATAAGTATATTTAAAGGAGCTCGAAGAAAAGAAAATTTTGAAAAATTAATAACATCTATTCGATATTATAATCATACTCCTAGTAAAGAGTTTGATCAAATAATAACTGAATTAAATTATTATTGAGAAGAAAAGAGAAGTTTTCTTGTATCTGCTTCTATATCAGAATGTAGTCAAAACAATAACAACTCTAACTCAGAGTCTGAACAAGAATCTGAATCTGAAGCTGAATCTGAATTCGAATCTATAACAATGAGTTACAACAAAAATAGTGAAGGTTTCCAATCTGAAGATAATGGAGTAGACATAATTGATAATGTAGAAAATATTATTATTAA